TCCTGGAGGGATTCTATGATAGAACAAGCAACACTGAGAAGAAATTGGAAATATTAATGCCAGTGGATAAAACAGTAATCAGCCTCACTGGTTATCCAGGGAATACCATTTTCAGTACCTGTGCGGTACTGTTTCACATCATGCTCGGTAAAGTAGAGAGGGCCAGTGAAAAAGAGGAAGACCCTCAATGAGGTGGACTGACACACTCGACTCCAACAGAGCCACCACTGAGGACTGCACAGGCTGGGCAGTGTCACATTCTGTTGGACACAGGGTCACCATGCAGTAGTAGCAGACTTGACAGAACCTAGCTACAACAACAACCATTTCATACCCTATTAAAATTGCAAACTAAACATAGCAGCTCATTACAAATATTAGTGAGAAAGCAGGCAAACAGGCACCCTTATATAAAAAAAGTGGGTGTGCAAACTGATGCAACCAACTGGAAAGCACCTTGGCAGCTGCGGCAGCGGTGGTGGTGTGCCTTGAAGATGGTTTCAACTCATAGAGACCCTGTATAGGGTTTCTGAAGCTGTAAATCTTTAAGGGAGCAGAAAGCCTCATCTTTCTTCAGCAGAATCGCTGGTAGTTTCAAACTGCTGACCTTGAGGTTAGCAACCCGACTTGTCACTTCTACACTAAAAGCTGAAGAACTGCCTTCTCAAGGACCAAGAGATCCTTTTTAGAGGTCCACTCAAACATTCTCAGAATTATGCACAAGGAAATATATAGATGAAGATGTTTTTTGCTGTGTGGTTTATAAGAAAAAAAAACAAACATAAATACCTTATCTCAGTAGAAGAATAGATAAATAAACTGCAGTTTATGAAAACAATTGCCGAGTTACACTCTGGTTGTAGAATTTATTTTAATCAACTTTTAGATAAGATGAATACAATATTTTTTGAGATAATCTCCTTGCTTTTTAATACACTTTGTCCATCTGTCAACAAGCTTTCATATTCCCTTATTAAAAAATGTTTTAGGCTGAGCTGCAAGCCACTAACGTACTGCTGTCGCTGTCTTCACATCTTCATCAGAGGTGAATCTTTGTCCTTGAAGGGCTGCTTTCAGGGGACCACACAGGTGAAAGTCCAATGGAGCAAGATCAGGACTACAGATAGGATGCTTTAATACTTCAAAAGGAAGTTTTAACAGAGCGTCACCGTGTGGACAGAGGTGTGTGGACATGCACTGTCGTGCTAGATCACAGTATGAACTGCAGTCCTCTACATTTAATCTCAAATTTAGGCTTCAGCTCTTAGGTGAGCATCTCACTGTGGGAGTCACTGATGATTGTTAAACCTTTTTCCTGATAGTGTTCCAATACTAGCTGCCCTTGAGGATCCCAGAAAACTGTAAGCACCAATTTTCCAACTGATGTTTGACTTTTGAACTTATTCTTGGTTGATGATTGAGGCTGTTTCCATTCTGTACGCTGCCGTTCACTCTCAGACTCGTAGTGATGAATTCGTATCTTGTCACCAGTAATGATTTTTCAAAAAAAAACTTTTACTTTCCTTTGAGTATTGGTCCAAATTCTGTCTGCAAATGTCTAAACATTTCTTTCTATGCTCTTCCATGAGTTGTTTTGGTACCCATCTCACACAAACTTTTCGAAACCCAAGTCTGTTGTGGATTATTTCACAGGCAGAACCACGGCTGGTTTGCAAAGGATTTTCCACATCATCCACTGTCACTTGCCTATTCAACAGAATCACTTCATGCGCACACTCAGTGTTGTCACCAGCTGTGGAAATGGATGGATGTTTTAATATAACCAGAGTGCAGATAATTTTGACTCACCCTTGTACTCTGGAATGGTACAGGACAACTTCAGTTGTATGAGTAATGGTTTATTATTTTCAGTAATTTTATGTACATCTAATAAGAAAAAGTTTAAATGAATTGGTACTGCATTTCCATCAGAATATTTATCCATTGCCATTGAGTCCATTTTTACTCACAGTGACCCTCAGTAACAAGGTAGAACTGCCCCATAGAGTTTGCTCTGTTACAATATTTCCAGGAGTAGACTGTCAAATTATTCTCCCATGGGGTGGTTGGTGGGCTTGAACCCTTTGGTTAGCATCTAAAAGATTAACTATTATACCAGGACTCCCTAAAAAAAATTAGTAATGCTGAAAAAGTATTAAGAAGACAAGTATCAACTGTTCTCTTATTGTCCTATTGTCTCCTATGGTATTTAAATGTAGACAATATCATTCAGTATCTAGTTTCATAATATTTTACTTTGCTCTTAACATACCAAAGTATATTTCCTCATTAGTTCAAAGTAGTGAACGTTACACATATCCATAGTGAAAATTGTAAAATATCTTGGCGGTGGTGGGTGTATAATGAAGAGCCTTTATTCTACCTGAGGTCCTAGTCCTACTGCCAAGAGTTACTGGTGGTGGTGGTTATGTGCCGTGGAGTCGGTTCCGACTCATAGCGACCCTGTACAAGGTCTCCAAGGCTGTACATCTTTATGGGAGCAGAAAGCCTCATCTTTCTCCCGTGGAACGGCTGGTAGTTTCGAACTGCTGACCTTGAGGTTCGCAGCCCGATTCGTAACCCCTGTACTAGCTTTCAGAAATTGTGTTTTTTAACTAAGGTGGGAAATAGACAAGCACCACTGGGTGGAGACAGAGCGCTTCAATTTCAAACTCAGCCGGAGTTAGTTTTCAGACAATAAATCTGATCATAGCATTTCTACACTGAAATTGAAATAAACGCTTGTACATTTTACAGTTCATGTTTCAAATTGTTCTGTATAAAACAATCACAACTAAAGGTTAATTATCTTTCCAAATTTAAAATAGGTATATGCTAATGAACATTCAGATTATCTTGGCTCAAAAAAGTGCTTCTTAAAAAAAAAAAAAAAAAAAAACCACCAAGAAATCTAGGTAATTTCGGGAATGCACCTTTATGCATAATTCTATTACTGGATTTTATGGACCCTAAAAATGAACTGTACTTTTAAAAGCTGTGATTTTTAAAAAAAAGGCACATGCTAATGAATCAGTGTGCCCTTTGCCCTTTGGCAAGCTGAGGGTGTAGAATTCAAATAAGCGACAAGTGACAATAAACAAACTGCAGAGCAGGTCAAGATCTAGACAGAACATGTCAGTGTGAAGCAAGAGAAATGAGAGCAGCTCCAGAGTGGTAGTGTTTGCTGCAATGACAACTGGTTCAGTCCTCACTCTTCCTGTAAGAGCTTCATGTTTCCTCAATCTGCTTGCAAGATCTTTCTGTCATTAAACCAGAGTTAAACCACAGACCTGCAGCTCGTCAGTTTCATTTCACAAAACTACTTTTAAAGTTAGAACTGTCTTTAAATCATAATTTCAGGAAAGCTGTAACAATTGCACATACACAAAAACTCCCATGTGGAAAAGCTCATGTATCATAATTTTATCTCAAAAACTAAAAATCCCACGCAAATTTACAAGCAGTTTGTGGATGAACTCTACTCTTGGGAATTTTGCTCTAAAAGCCTCAAAAAGGTCACAAAGAATGGGAAACTTTATCAGTCAGACAATAATTAGGATTAAAAGGTTTTCATTGATTTTTAATACAAGATAGACACAATTTGAAATTCAAAATTCTCTTTAACTTTGCAAAAAGGCCAAGCTAAAATAAATAAATTCCCTACTGGAAATTATTCTGAACTAAACAAACACTTTGGAAGTATAACATAATACAGCAATATAACAAAAACTGTATATTAAAAAAAACAGGTTTTGGAGGAGCAACAAAAAGACATGTTTTTCTGAACATGTATTATTGTTAGGTGCCACTGAGTCGGTTCCAGATACATGGTGGCCCTATGGACAACAGAACGCAACACCTCCCGGTCCAGCACCACTCTCACAATCTTCCCTACGCTTGGCCCGTTTTTTTAAAGGCAATTCTGTTTAAAGGCAAATGGACCAATCAATGGACTTGAGCACTGTAAAGATGACACCGGACTAAGCAACTTTTCTATGTGGATGGCTCAGTTGGAGCTGACTCACAGCAAGTGACGACAACAACAAACATCCTCTGTATTCCAAGTGACTATGACTCAGGACAGCCACTTGTGTGCAGAATAGAACTGCTCCATAGGGTTTTTAACGTTGTAACCTTTCGGAAGCAGACTGCTAGGCCTGTCTTCAGGTGGGTTTGAACTGCCAACATTTCAACTATTAGTTAAGTACTTACCTGTCTGTGCTACGTGGACTAACTACAGATCTTCATACAAAATCACATAGGTATTTGTAAATAATATATATTGGTAAACACCAGCACTTGAATTAAAAATAAAAAAAATGAGAATGAAGGATAAACATGTTATCATAGATTTCCAAGTCAATGATTCATAAAAGGACATGGTAAAAGTGATACCAACTCTCTTGGCTGAACTCCCTCCCCACTTACCGGGAAACTGTGACACTATTGGGGGTGTATCTTCGTCTAAGTCATCAACTCCTCCAGCAATTGGGTAGGGTGGAATGGAGACCCTGGGCATCACCACCCAGCTGTGATCAGAGTAAAGGGAAGAGGTCAGGCTGGGGAGCCCCGAGTTGTGGGCTATCTGGAATCCACAGATCTTCTCAATCTGCTGCCAGCGAAAAAGTCGTTCTCGTAAACAAGTTGTCAATTCGGAGAGCGCTTTCCTGGAAAATCCAATCAAGAAGTTACTTGCTGTTATCCAGGACTGTTTACTATGGCACTACAAAACAACAAACAATCTCATGTACATACCAGGGCAGTTCTCTAACTTCAAGAAGAATTACCCACTGCTAGAATTTAAATATGTACTTTTATAAGGTCAAATAACAAATGAATATGCAAACAGTCTATAATTTATTCATTTCAACACAGTATAGCAAATAAACAGAAAGCTACAATAACATTCTTACTTTGCTTCCAGAATTTTGTGGTCCACCTCATCTAGGGAGGAACTATGTGCGACATGCAGGGTCCCAAAGACGGTGCTTCTCTTCTTTTTAATTTTCTCAGCCTAGAAACCCAAGGGGAGAAAAATAAATCCAAAACCTAGTCTGGAAAAAACAAAACAACACACACATACTAATGAAGTTTATTTTGTTTGGAATGCATTAATATACATAAAACCAATGGAGAATTATTAGCCAAGACACAGCCCTGCTTTTCGAAGAAGAAAGCAGATGGAGGGAAGGGGAAGCATGCTCTCCTAAGTGAATCGAGGAAAACTCAAAAACTTGGTTTGAAATTCTTTCTCCTATATATATATATGGCTGAGAAAAGACCTGAGTCTTCTTAAAACTAACAGAGGAACATGAACTAGATTATACTGCAATGAAGATGTTAGTGAAGTGAACTGAACTTTATTTATTTATTTTTTGATGGCTAGAAATCAGATTAAGACTTCATTTTACTTCACACAATTTAATAAGTGTCAGACATTAATTTCTAATAACTACTAACCTGAATCAGATAGGAAGCGGCGACCTAGAGGAGAAAAGCTCCGTATAAAACATTTATAATAATGAGAATCGTCATGACTTTTTTTTTAATGACGCCAAGGCCATTTTGAAAGTATATACTTCTCGAAATAAAGTAATCTCACTTATACCAATAACTCCCAGAGTCAATCTATACAATACCAATTTAAGGGGGGAAATGTGCAATCAGAAAACTGGTATTCAGATCTTTGTATCCCAGTTGGCACTATGAACCCTCCTCGAGAACAACAGCCTAACTAAGAGACAAACTTAGTGACTTTAGAAACATAGTAGATTAAAAAGTACCTCATCCTTAGCAATAGCTAACTGCATTTCTGCATTCTGCCTTTTAATATTGTAGTACTGTACTTCCACTTCATGTGTTAGTTGAAGCCATTTTTGAAGTGCATCTGGAACAGACCAACTGCTTCTGAGTTCAAATTCTTTCTCAGCTTTTTTCAGAGCCATGCGAACCTGAAAGTAAAAAACAAACACAATCAGAAGACATAAATAAAATATAATTTTGTACTACCAAAATTAAAATAAACGGCAATTTTAATAATGCTCTTTTTAAATCTCTCTTAAATCTTGAAGTTAAAATACAATTAACTATACAAACTTTCAAGAGGGAGCCTAGTTCCAGCGGGGGCGGGAGAAGGTAGACTCTTCACTGAGTGATTTCCAATCTGTTGGGACCGGGCTGATGAATGGAGATGGGGATAAGATTCTTGTGGTACAACAGTGAATAATTGTTATCAGGACTGACTGTGAGGGTCTCAAATGTAAAGGTTTTGCAGTCCAGAAGCAGAGGTCCCTGGGACCATCAAGGGAGAAGAGAGGAGTACGGGACCCTATCCAGAGAGGCAGTGACTCCTGAAATGGAGGCAAAGACAATGAAGTGGAGGTATGCAACAGCTGGGGACTCAGACTAAGGGAAGGAGAGGGACTGTGTGCTGATGGCCGGTGGGGTTGCAGACTTGCGGGGTATACCCGTTGATTGTTTGATGATATATGGAGGGAATAGTAATCATTGCAATGAAACGATATATAATAGATGAATGTAAAGCTGGTGTTCTCCCATGTAAACTATCATATAATTCACAATAAAAACTTACAAAAAAAAAAAACAAACCCCAAAACACAATAGCTAGCTAATTTTAGGAGTCCTAGTGTGGCACTGTGAGCTAATGAATCAGACTGCAAAGTCATCTGAACTGCAAGGTTCGTGGTTCAAGCTCTCCAGCTGCTCCTTGGAAACCCTATACCACAAGTTCGCTATGGGTTGGAATCGACTCAATGGCACTTAACATCTAATATTAAAACTAAAGCTGAAGTATTAAGTACATCTTAAATCCACTCAGCAAAGTTGTGACTCTGACGTACACTTTGGAGTGGAAATATTTAGATTGTCTATTTCATAATAGTTAGGATCACTGATCACACTTTGCTCATACGGAACGGATATTTGTTCATGGAAGAGGAAAGAAAAAAAGTTTCAGAACTAGGATACCTGTCTTAGTTCTTCTTCCAGTGTTCCCGATAACTTACTGCAAACTCCTAAATAATAGGGTGGTAGTGGTGGTGTGCCATGGAGTCGGTTCCGACTCATAGGGACTGTGTATAAGGTTTCCGAGGCTGTAAATCTTTAGGCGGAGCAGAAAGCCTCATCTTTCTCCCACGGAACAGCTGGTAGTTTCGAACTGCTGACCTTGTGATTAGCAGCCCAACTCATAACCACTACGCTACCAGAGCTCTGTCCTTAACAACACACGGGGTTTTGCTAAGTAATTATATAGCCTTTTATTAGCTTTCTAGATAACCTTTGAAGTCAGTTGTTTTTTTTACAAGTATATCTGTTCTTCCGGTATGCTTTACTTCCTCTATTTAATTCACTGCCTCCTGGTATGGCATTTGCAGGATAAGCACTAGACCGCCAACCACAAGGTAGGAGGTTCAAATCCACCAGCCACTCCTCAGAAACACTATACAGGGTTCATTATGAGTCAGAAAGGCGCTTAACAACAATACCAATAACATACCAATAAATAGACAGTTAAGCATTTGGAGACCACATAAAAACTTTAAGGAAATAGATTCTGGGCATATTGTTTACTTGAATTTTCTATGAGTGACTACATATAACCTTCGGCATAAAGAGGTCAACGTGTTTCTTCTTGTTATGTGCCATCGAGTTGGTACCGACTCATAGCGACCCTATGTGAATGAAACACTGCCTGGTCCTGGGCCAACCTCACAATTGTTGCCACACTTGAGCCCATAGATGCTGCCACTTTGCCAATCCATCTCGCTGGGGGGTCTTTTTCTCTGACCCTCCACCTTGCCAAACACGATATCCTTCTCCAGCGACTGGTGCCTCCTAACAATATGTCCGAAGTATGAGAGACGAAGTTTGGCCATCCTGGCCTCCAAAGGCTGCACTTCTTCTAACACAGATCTATTGGTTCTTTTGGCAGCCCATGGCACTTTCAATATTCTCCTCCAACACCATAATTCAAAGGCATCAATTCATCTACGGTCTTCCTTATTCACTGTCCAGCTTTCACAAGCATAGGAGATTATTGAAATACCATGGCTTGGGTCAGGTGCACCTTAGTCTTCAAACTGACATCTTTGCTCTTCAACACTTGAAAA